CGACAATTTGTTTCTTAAAGCAATCTTCCTATGTTTGTAATTGAACAAATTCCTGATAAGTCATTCGAAATTCCAAGAAACGTGAGATTTAATGAACGCTGTGTAAGTAACTGAACACCATTTAACGCGTCGTTTAAAAACCGGTTAAAGTAGCAACAAACTAATATGTCTCGAGGCTTTTCCACGCGTCTCAAACATCACTCGAGACGAAACGAATTGCCGGCGGAACAAAAACGAGACGTGTCAAGCCGCGTAATGGCAATGTGGAATCGCGAGCGTACTAATTATCGCGGCTAGACCGCGAATTAGGGCCGTAAGACTAAACGAGAGGATCGTCGTCGAGACGCCTTATCGCCGGCCTCGATCTATTCCCTCCTTACGTCCGCAGGATGCGAGATTTCCTCTGTCTTCGTCGGCGAAACAACGAAGACCTTCGTTTCGAATCAATCGCGAAAACGAATTGAATTACTGATGGCGACAGATTACAGGCTTTCAACATGATGAATGATATTAATTAGAAAGATGATTGGAGCTTGTTTAACATATTTAGACTGCAGGATCTTATGTAAAAGTTCATTCGTCAAGGAGATTTATGCATCTCTAAGTTTAATTAAAATCAAGGCAAGTGCGGGGCAAAAGGAACGACTTACGTATTGTTAAAATTATCTGTTAAACATATTTGATACAATTAAGGATGTATTGGCTATACAGTCAATCCCAAAAGTTTATGCACTTTAGAAACGCATTTTTTAAAAAGAAATCAGACTTCGGAAGAACATNCTGTATAGCCAATACATCTTTAAATTGTATCGCACCTATATATAATATTGTAACAATGAAGCTAGCCATAAATGTTCCTATATATTACTAATCTAAGCTCATATAGGTTAACGTTTGAATTGATCATATTAATTGCAAAATGCCGACGAGAAGCAAGAAAGAAACTGTCGCTCTTCAAATCCCAGTGGACTGCGAAGAGGATTGGGAACAACTGTTGGAGCGAAAAGGCCTGATTCTCGCGGACATTTACTCCGAATGGTGTGGGCCTTGCATAGCCATGGTGAGCACCTTGCGGAATGTGAAACTGGAAGTGGGCACCGACGCGATCACTTACGCGATCGTGAAGAACGACAACATCGAAGACCTCCAGCGTTTTCGTGGCAGAAGCGAGCCGGTTTGGATGTTCATCCAAGACGGGAAGATGGTCAATTTGATATTCGGTGCCAACTGTCCCCATATTCGCAAAGTGCTTATGAAGGAGATAAAGAGAGTGCAGAATGATGAGGAGCCGGAAATGCGACTGGACGTTAGCACGAGGACGCCCGAGGAAGAGATTCTGTTTCAACAGAAGGAAGCTATTAGGTACCGTTACGAACAGTTTCGAAACTGCGGTGAAGATAGTATTAAGCTGATGCATGTGAAACATCGTTCTGTTCCCGGGATTTCAATTTTCGATTCGAAAATCCGTTATCGCACTTTTGCCTCATTATCCACTATTACAAATCAAATTGGAAGTGAAATAACGTAAACGTTGACCTCGCTTGGGAAAAGACGTTCTTAATCGTAGTCTAGAATCTGCAGCTTATAAATACTTTAACGATCGTAGTTAGAGGTAGCTTAAATTTTAACGGCTCGCTGCGAAATTGTTCATCGCGAACAAGAAAAGCGATCGAGGATCGGAAGCGTGCCAAAGAAGAGGCCGAGTATAGAGAGAAGTACGAGGCGTTCCTAGCACAGATGATGTTCGAGCTCAGCGAGGAAACGGCTTTGGTCTTTTATCCGTGGGTCCTCAGGGATGAAGAGGGCCGACACAGGGACAAGTACCAGAGTCCTCAGTACCTCGAGCTCATCAACACGTTGTTCAAACAGAATTTCGACATTCTCGAGGAGCTGCGAATCCATCTCAACGAGGAAAATATCGAGAAGATGTTCGTCGAAAGCAACGTAGAAATTACGAAAGAATTAATCGCTGGTAATTTTTATACTTTGCGAAACGAATCTATTTATAATAGGTCGGTGCGTGTGAAACGTCGTTTGTTTCTGAGACTTGCATACAATGCATATATTGAACAATGTTTCATACCAACCTAATATTAAACCGGTAAATAAATTATAAAACTGGAATCGCTTGCTAGGATTAACTGAGGGTAGAACCATAGCAATGAGACTGAAAGGTAGACGCCCTCACCCCGATTGGCCAGTGCCATACCCCTTCGAATGTCCAAAAGGAACGAAAAGGTGTCCCCAGCGACAGATCAACGATGTCGAAGACTACCTGGTGCATTTGTTAACCAGTAAAACGCCACTGCTTCAAGGGACCGTAGTACCAGTGCCCGAGAACTCCTCTTACATGGAAAGACACGTGTACGAGCACGTGGTCGATCCGGAGGACGAGGAAGACTTCCCTCGTACCCATCCCGCAGTCTGGGTGCCTCCTCAAGTATTCCTCGATTTCAGACCTTTTCTCCCCGATCTCGTAAGACGATTCTCAATAATTTAGCTTCCTAATAAAAAACGTAATTAGGCCAGGAGCAAGGTACATGTATACACAACCCTCTTCTCCAACTATATGGAGGTAGTTCACCCTTACGAAGAACCCGTCCCACCGCCTCCTTATTGCGTCTTCAAGTTTTACTATTCGAAATTCCCAGTGGTTCAGGAGACGTGCACGCAGTTCCCCGATGCGGTCGAGTATTTTGGCGCTTTCGAGTACGATAAGCCTCCTATGGCCAGGCGAATGGCATCCAGCCCCGAGGATTTCGAGAGAAAGGTTCTTTTTGGTTGCATTTGGTGCAGAAGTTATAAGTGCACTGGATTTAATGTACAAATATGTCAAAAATCGATGTTCAAATGTTTACTTAAAATATGTTTTTTTTTTTTAAATTGACATAAAAATCCGTGGCGTAACTGCAAATATTTCCCTTTCCGCCTCGAGAACGTAAAATGACTGCAATGAATGTTGCTAAAGGAGAGGTTCCACACGGGAAACGAGGTATTCGTGATAATAATACGAAGGGTTACCGAAGACGCCTTCCTGTCGTTCGCCAGCATCTATCCGTACTTCGTTACCGAAGACGACGAGGAGGCTCAGGCGATGATAGACGAGTACTTCCCCGAGGGTGCCGAGGATGCGATCCTCGATCTCTTCGAAGATGACGACATTGACGAGGAGGAGGAATTCTACGAAGAGGAGGAGGAAGAGGAAGATGACGAGGGACAAGACAAAGAACCCGAGGAACCGTTCTTTAATGCTGACATTACTTTTACTATATTTTAATTCTCAGTTTAAGAACATCGATCTAAATCATCAATCTATCAGTCCAATTATGTTCTCTCTGGACTTTATCATTATGCAAATTTAATATTTTAGTCGATTAGAAAAATGACATTTCTTTTCTCATGTATTCTATTGCAATATGCATTACTTTTGATATTTATATTTTGATGCATCTGTTTTCTACATGCTTCTTATAAACGTAAGAATAAAATCTGCTGTTTAATGATCATTGTTGATAATGGAACTCAATCAGTGGATTACTTCTGAGGCTAGCTAGAAGGTTTCCTGATTTTCTTTTATATCAAAGATAAGAGATCGATATTTAACGTTCGTTGAATAATTCGAAGCATGCTGTTCAGTCTGCTTTCCGTCGCCCGCGAGAGTTCCATTCTTCGCGCGTTTTGGCATAGCCGGGTCATATGGTTTAAACATTCGCCGTTGCCGACGACGCGTTTGCGTAAGTTTGGCAAAATTCCAGTCGACACACCGCGGTCCTCTCTAGAGGTTGTATTACGCACCTGTACCGTTGCCAATTCTTTTAAACCGCGACCTGCCAGTAGGAAACACCGTTCGCCAAACCACCGTCAAAACAAAGTGTTCACCACGGACGCGTTACATTATTGCACATTCTTATAAATCGTGCGTGTCGCTCTTTCAGTTCGTATAATATTTGTTAATTACGCGGATCTGAGAAACGTTGGTAAATTTTCTATCGAGATTCTTAAGCAATTCGTAATCGGAAGAAGATAATTAATGACTCGAATAAGGTATGAAATTACTGGAAAATCCGTGATTAGAGCTAGTAAATTCCAATTATTTTTAATCATAGACAAACACAGCTTGTAACAGTCCTATTAAGTTGATTTAATGATTAGATTCTAATCTTTCCAATGATGTTAATCAAATTCTACATCAGTCAAGTATCATAAATATCACATCAGTGTAATTATTGGAAAGCAATTAATACATCTAGCGATACATCCATATTATATTGAAAAAGTTAATATACTCCTTCGAACGGCAATTGAAAATGGCATCAGGAAGTCGGCCGTGACTGGAGGTAATAAATTGAATCGCGCTGATCCAATTAACTAGGCAATTTGTCACGCGACCGATGCGAGAGAAATTCACGCGTGAACGGCACGCAACCGAGCTTTTGCTCCTCGCTAAATTTTACCAAACGAGCCGAACAATTGAACCATTAACCGTGGGGACGTTAGTCACCCAGCTATTCAATCTTCCAGAGCTAAATCAGCCATTTTCATCCGTATTTTCGTCGCTCCACGCCTCGCTTCGTAAAGATTCGAGAACTTAAAACAAACATCCGAACATCTTTAGTAGCTTTAAACCCAGTAGATTTCCACATTTTTCGTAGAGATCCTGAATTCTATATTGTATTTTCGACATCGTAGACCATCATTGGATTTCTTAATAAATATAATGAACGTGCAGAAAATAGAAGCGTGATAGAAAATGGTAAGAAACGTTTAGATAAAATACATTTGTTTAATTGACTTCCACAGATATTTTATTTCTGCGAATTCTGCAGTCCATTAATTACGTTATACAAATTTTTGATAAAAGAGAAGATCATACAATTTCGATTTCGCGTTTGACGATCGTATAAAATTGGGTTTAAATGAACAGTGTCAATTGGCGACCACTCGTAAAGTCAACGCACGCGTAAAATCTCCGAGTATCAATAAAAACCGGTACGAAACATTTTTTATCATCTTCAAGCAAGATACATACGGTAGCGCCCAAGGCGATTGTTGCTTAAACATCGACAATTATTGCACAAGCATTACATAACTAAACAGTCGGGATCAGAATGAAAGAGGAAAAAAGGCGTAAATTACTGTTACGGCGCGTAATTCGCGTCCATCGAGTGGTTATTAATGATCGCTTCGTCTTTATCTTCCTCGCTTTCTGTTTTCATCGACTTAATGGGATTTGTACAGTGTGCCACTGAAAAACAAATTATCTGAAACTGGTAACTCGTGCTATCGCGGAGAGTGATCATTTTTATGTAGCCAAACGAAGAGGAACAATCTTGAGGCTCATATCTGATCTGATTCGTGCACGTCTGGGTAAGCAGAAATCATGGAAACCATAATTTGATTACCCAATTGAAAATCCAATCTGATAACAAGACCTCGAATTTTTATGTGAAATAAAATTTTTATCGTAATAACTTTAAAAAATACGTTTTACCAGCATTCAGCATTTCTTCATCGCACTTAGCGTTTCTCGCGAAGTTTATTTAGAATTGTATGAAGTCTAATGATAACATAAATATTTTTATAAGGGTAGTTTTTGCTACGACGTTTACGATTGTTCAAGAGGTTCACGAGAGGTCGAGAATCGACAGAAAGTTCGGCGAACGAAGAAAGGGGCAGTTAGTGCGCGTAAGATAAATTTACCCGCGACTCGGCGACGCCTGTGCCCATGGTATCCTCGTTTCTTTTCCCTTCTGTGCGATACGTGGCCGCGTAACGTGTAAGTAAAGCGTTCAGAGTCGTTTTCTTTTCGCGTGGTCGCAAATAGGAACCCTCTCGAACTCCGTCGACGAAATTAATGGCGTCGGGACGCGCGCTCACGCGATTCACCGACGCCTGCCGCTCGAGTTACCGTGTCAAAGTTCACGAGCACCCCTCGGTCGGCATATTTGTCGTCGAACGCTAAATTAATATTTTCGGTATGCTTTGTTTCTTTATTGAAAAATTTCCTAATTACTATTTCCAAAAATTATTCTCATTGCTCTTTGAGACTATTAAAGAGACACGGTCGCTGGAATAAAGAAGTGATCTTTCTGGTTTCTTAAAAGAGATAAAGGATTTCGTGAAGCTGGATACGTTAGAAGAAAAACCAGGCGTCGAGTGACTTTGTTTCAAAGAAACGAGTTAATTTCGTACACGTTTCCGTCCAACGCCCTGATCCTTGGCTTCCGGTTTGCATGACCCACTGATCGTGAGTCAAGTGCACGCGTTACTATGAAAAGAAACATTATGCGACGTGTTCGGCAGCCGTGTTCTTCGACAAACAAATAAAATTTAGTAATACTTCTTTCGGTTTATTATGAAACATCTAATATCCGGTTGGAAACTAATTTGTGGAAGCTTATTGAGTTTTCGACAAGTGTCAACTAGTTCTAAAATTTTCTTTTCAACAGTTAAAATTCTAAAAAATCGTGCTTTATTCTTTAAACACGTACACTTCATAATTTTAACAATTTCATGTTCCATAATTTCTGATACATAATAACTGTGTCTTGGTAACGTCACTCTATTAGAAAGTTGGGGTTTTCCAACTCGGTAAACGCCCTTCCCATGACGTAAGTAAAGGGATAGTCGAAACTCAGTAAAGAGAATTTTCTTCGAAACGGTTATTTTTCTTCCGTGAAATAAACTTGAACAATCATTCGAAAGATTCGATTATTTGGACAATGAGTGTCTGTTAATTTGCGCGAACTCTGTTCTGCAATAGTTTCTATCAAACCGGATTTTATGCTACCTCGTAAGTAAGTAAAAGTTTTATTTAGAAATGTTTTCGGTCAAATATAATATATAGTATATAAAAAATAAAACCTACGAAGTTTAAATGCTTAGAATCTCACTGCACGTGCAATAAAATGCATAAAGCAATAAACGCAATATATTAACGATAAATGGATAGTATTTGAAGATTCAAAGGGAAGATGCTGTTATTCTTAGGAGTGGTGATCAGTTGTTCGTATATATCTATAGAAAATTACAGGCCTCATGATGGAAGTCACGGTTAATCAGGAGAGAACCAACAGCCAGAATCGCTGTTGGCAAGGTGACTACTTGTGTTACGTGATTCCTAAGGAGATGGAAATATTCTTTTTTCATTTCCTTCGTTGGCAGTCTTCATGTAAATTTTTGTAATTGAACCCTCAAGCTTTCAAACGATATTCGTATTTTTCCATGAACACTTCCAGTTATAGGAATATACGATTATACCATAAATTGTAACTAGTCATTGTTGCTGCTATTGCATTTATGTTGAACAAGTTTAATTCGTGACCGTGTGATATATACTTCATTTAATTACTTGATTAGTATTCCATGAGATTTACTGTGATACGATTTTGATAGAGAAAGAAAAACTAAAAATCTTTGAAATTAATATGAACTTGGAGGAGTGTACAATATATATTTTGTAAAACTATATCAAATATTAATAAATCAATCTTCAGTGTCGGTTGACGTAATAAAACACAAAACTGACGCACGATTGAATAACTTACGTGTACTAGAACTAGAAAGAAGCTAAACATCAACATGGAGCGCATTTATTGGTTCCTTATGTGCGCGAGGGTCAAATTTATGCATCCGCAAAATGTGCCAAAACCTACGCCAACGCAGATTTCAACCTGCAGGCTATTCAAACAGCAAATATTTAAATTCTTTATGACACGATTTTATTTGAGTTCCCACAAACCGGGACTAAATCTCGATTTTAGATCAATTAACACTTCTGCTCGAGAACGTGAAACGAAATTTAATATGAAACTCGCTTTTGGACATCTAAAATCGTATTATGTAACACGATGCAAAATAGATTCTCTCATTAAATTAACGCTTCATCGTCATAAAATTTTCCGATTCTCTTGTGAATCGAATTACATCTTTTATTTGAAAACTAGATAAATGAGAATAGAATACGTTTAATAATGATCACAATTTAAAGAAGAAATGAAATCTACTTTTCAATTTTTCAATCAATCCAGACGTCTTGTCAGTTGATTTGTTTCCATCAACTTGAAAAATGCATTAGCATGTACTTTTCTCGTAAATCTTTATTGACTCAATTTTTTAATACAAAATAATTCGTATCAACTATGATTCATAAAAAGCGAATACCGAATTCCTGTTTCATAATATTTCTTTATTCTTAAAAATTGTTGATTATATAATAACTCGTATACATTTAGCATACACGAGGTAATTCAGAATACCTGTGGCAAAAGATTACAG